CCAGCTGACTTCTCCTTCTCTCCTTCCTTCCCTGCCACCCGTACTGCTGATCAGGTTCATCCCTTCTTCCTCCTGGCGTACGTAATCACTCTGTCCTGCACTCCTCCTGATACCTCAGGCTTCCCAGCCTTGCCGTTTCTTCCAGCTCTCCCCACTGCCAGCTCCTCCCTTCCTTCAGCAGTTGATTCAGTACGTAGGCTCGGCGGCTGAAGTTCGGTACGAACTTCCTGTAATAGTTCAGGAAGCCGAGCAACGCCCGCAGCCCGGTCTTGTCCTTTGGTGCTGCCAGGTTCTCCAGCACCTTCACTTTTGCTTCCTGTATCGCCAGCCGGCCCCCTTTCACTTCAAAGCCTAGGTAAGCCACGGTCTGCCTTGCTATCTTGCACTTGTCTGGATGGCACGTCAGACCTGCAGCTGCTATAGCCTCTAGCGTCCGCTTCAGATCTTGCACGTGCTGCTCTTCACTGCTGCTGAAAATCAGTATATCATCTATGTAGCAAGCTGCTGCTGGAATCCCCTTCAACACCTGATCCATGGCCCGCTGGAACACTGCGGGGGCGTTGCGTATCCCGAAGGGCATCACATTGTACTTATACAGTCCATCCACCCCGTGAAACGCCGTTTTCCGTTTGTCTTCCTCCCTGATGGCTATCTGGTTGAACCCCTGTCGCAGGTCCAAGGTGGTGAAGATGATGGCGCCTTCTAATCGATCAAAGATGTCTTCTGCTGTTGGCATGGGGTACCTGTCCGGGCTGGTAATCTTGTTCAGCTCCCGAAAATCTCCACACATCCTTTTCGCCAGCACTTTACCCGTGATATCCTTCCTGGCAGCTACCACTGTGGCTGCTGCGTAGCTTGACTCGGACGGGCGGATGATCCCTGCTGCTAGCAGCTCCTCACACTTCTCCTTGCAGATAGCCGCATCCTCTGCATTCATTCTCCTCCTTTGTTGGTAAGTGGGTATCTCTGTGGTAAGGTTTAGCTCCAGCTCTCTTCCCTTGTACCTCCCCAATTCCTGCAGATTATAGGCGAAAGTGCTCCTGTGCTGGCGCAACACCTCTCTGATTGCTTCCGCCATCTGCTCCCTGATGTCCGTACCTAGCTCCCATTCCTTACCCTGCTCAGCTTCTTTGCCCCCTGCTAGTGCCGCCACATTCTCCCTTCCTCCCGTGCCCTGCCCAACAGCTGCATACGCCGCCTGCTTCTCTCCCTGTCCTTGCCTCTTTCCGGTCTCTCCTCCCTTGTCAGCTGCCCCCTTCCTCATCTCTTTGATTAACCATCTCAGCGAGTGCTGGTCTATGGCTCTTCCTAAAGCTGCTCTGCGCATCCCTTCCTCTACCCCTTCTGCTGCGGTTGCTCCTGGCAGGTATCCCATGGCTAACTCACGCTCCAAAGCCGTCGGTTCCTCCCACTTCTTCTTCCGGTGATCGTACACCATCCCTGGTCCTGGTATTCCGTCCACCTCGATGAAACCTTGTGCCCTGGCGTATGCCACTAATGTAGGCCACGCCCTGCGAGCTTCCCCCACCCGGTTGCACTGGTACTGCCGCGGATGGTCTGGTTTTACCACTGGTGCCGCCACCCTCCCCGGTTCTAAAATATCCTCCACTATCCTGCTTTCGTCCCTCTCCACTCTTGCCAGTCTGGCCCTCAGTTCCCCGTCTGGCAAGGCGTTTTGCCAGTACTGCCGCACCCTATAACAGCGTGCCCCCAACTGTGCCCCATCACAGCTCACTCCTCTCCCCAGTTCTGCCTCCACCAGCTCCCTTACTGCCCTGACCGGCTCACGTACGTCATTCCTCATATCCACATGCTCCAGGATGTAAGCATATTCTCCGTTCACTTCCCTCGTCCACTTCATAATGGTGAGTAGCTTGATCACCATCGCCGTGCGTTCGTCCTGTAAGCCCTTCCCCTTTCCGGCCTTAGAAGTACCCTGACACTCCCATCCTGCCACTAACAAATCCACTTTACCCCAGCTGCTCACGTCGTCTTTCGTGATCTGCCCCACATCCCATTTCTTGTTCTGCATGGCCTCCCGTAGTACTTCCTTCGTCAGTTGTGTGGGGTACTGCTGCTGTAACATTTGAGCATGCTTCCATGCCATTCTCCTTACCTCTGGGTCCAGTGCTACGTATACCCACTTCTTCACCCTCAAGCCTGCTTCCAAGGCTGCTGCCAAGCCCGCTCCTATTCCCCCGAACAGCTCCACTAGTGTAATGCTATACTGATCCAGGTGAGCCCTGACGTTGCTCTTCCCCACACTTCCACCCCCTCTGCTGTTCTTCCTCAGTCCTTCTGCTCTCCACGCCTTCTTGGGTTCTGTCTTAACAAACCGTACTGGTAGTTCACTCAGCTCCTTCCCTTCCTCCCAAAATTCCGAACGGTAGAGCACCTGCTCCTGCTAGGTACAGATAGTGGTGCCTATCTTGAACAGCAGCTCCATTCCTAGTAGGATATCATAGTCCTCCGATTCTGTCAACCCACACTGCACTCTGATAGTGGTCTCCCCCTTCTCTCCCGGCTGTAAGGTTATCTCTATCAGGTCCCGTGTGCATGGCATCCACTTGGGGGCCCCTCCTTCGGCTGTCATGATCAGTATGCCCTTGCTTACAGTCTCTAGGTTCCCTTGCGCTTGCAGTTGTGCCGTCAGCTTCTTCCCGATCAGGACACTCTGTGCTCCTGTATCCACCACCGCGTTTTCAACCAAGATTCCTCTGACCGCCACTGCTTTCGGTTCCACCACCAAGGCTGTGGGCTGACAGACTAGCCTTTCTTCGAGGTGACGCCGTGCGGTGCTGACTCTCCCTTGATTCTCCTACCGCCTGGAAATTCTCCGCTCTTGTAGTTTCTGCTCCGCTCTGCCATCTACCCCTCCGCTGCGCAGCCCCAGGTCTCCCCTCTCTCTTGGCAGCATAGCCATGGTCCCGTATTCTGGTTCCCCTTCCTCAGAATCTTCTCCTTCGTCGTCCCCCCAAGCCAGCAGAGGTTTCTCGGGGTCTTCACTGATCCCTGATTTCTCCATCTGAGCTTTCAGTTTTGCCAACTCTCGTTCCAACTGCAACTCCCTTGCAGATTTCCCCTTCGCCCTGTCTCCCTTGCTGTAGCATCTAGCTTCGGTATGGCCTTTCTTCCCACACCCCGTGCAGGTCGGCGCCTTGGGGAAGTCACGCCTGAAGTGCCCCTTTGCTCCACAGGTGTCGCAGATTATCCCCACCGTACAATCCCTCCGAAGATGTCCTTGCTCTCCACATTATGGCAGCGTCTCGGGTCTTCCGATGGCCTCTCTTTCCGCTCTTCCTCTCCCCTTCTTCCTTCCATAGCTGCCCAGGCCGGCCGTCTCTGCTCACTCGGTCGGCTGGAACTCGACCCCTGCATGCCATCATAAAATCTCTTCCCTTCCTCCACTTCCTTCGCCACCTTGTAGACTTGCCGCAGCGTGGCGCGTACTCCCAGGACGTACAGCTGACTCCTCATGTCGCCTATCAGGTCCTTGTCCAGACCGTTGACAAATTTTGTCACCAAGAGGCGCTCCTCAATACACCCCATGTCCTCTGCCAGCTCTAGCAGCCTGTTGTAATAGGCTAGCAGCGACTCCGAGGTGGCACGCATGAAGTTCTGAAACTCCGCCATCCGTTCAGCCGAGTGCCCCGGGAACTGCTCCTGCAAACTCTCTAGAAATCGGTCCGTTATCATTGCAGGTGAGAACTCGCCGCTCTTGCACTGCATCAACAGCCCCTGCCTTTCCACGCGGTAGTGAGTCAGGGCCTCGCCTTTCAGAGTCCGTCCCAAACTTCTAAAGAACTCGATAGGGTCTAAGCCCTCCCTCTCCCAAAGGTAACGCAGGTCGTCGATCATCATCAAGTAGTTCTTGAGCGTGGGCTCCTCCCCTGGTGTCCCCGAGAAACGGTCAGGCACTTCAATCTTCGGTGGGGCTGCGTTCATCGTGCGGCCCGTCCCCCAGCTCGTGTTCCCTCTATCTCCGCTGTCCACCGGCCAACCACCTTGCCTAGCTTCAGTAGCCTCGTATCCACCCGCCGAAAAGCTGTGGTACGCTTCTCCTCCTCTCTGACTGCGTCTTTCTTCGTGATGTTCATCTTCCCCACGCTGACTGCGCCGTTCTTCCTGAAACTCTTCCCTTCCTTGAGCAGGATTCTCCCCTCGAGATCCGCTCCTCACATGGCCGATTCCACTCCCACCAGCGACTGATCCACCCGTAGCGCTGGGCGGCGGCTCCCCTTGCCGGTCGCCCTCCCTCTCTCGATCTGATCCCTGACCCCCACGTGCGTTAGCATTGCCCTCTTCAGCACGGAATCCAGGTGTCCTGATTGGCTGGCCTTGTCCCTCCATCATCCTTGCAGGGAAACGGAGTCCCGAGCGCAGCTGATGAGTGTGCAGTTCCTGATCGTGCCTACTCATTCCTCACGGCGCATCACCGTGAGCGACTCGAGGCTACTAGCTTATCTCCTGTACTTAAGACAGTCAACAACGCTTTTTGCTTGTATGTAGCAAGCGTAACACTCCCCCTCAGGGGCCCCGTCAAATTGCTTATAGCTTCTCCTACTGCTAGTTCCCTCTGGATTAGGAAAGCAAATTGCAGTAAATGAGAAACATACAAGCAAAAAGCAACGAGTCTGAGCGCTACCCCCGTCTACATCCCCTCCTGCCTAGGTGCCTTGTCCCGCAAGCTACCTCTACTCCCAAGCGCGAGTCAGTCGAGCTGATCGCGTAGGCTTCAAGGTGCTAGCTGGGTCCCACTGGGCCCACTAGGCATGCACCGCCTTCCAGCCTGTGAATGTCGAATTGAATTCCCAGGCTGGCTGGAATCGAATTCGCCATCAACCTCCTCATCTACCACCTCGAAATCCTCAGCAGCTCGACTCTGTATAGTACAGTAACATCCCAAAATAAGCACACAAAGTAAAATGCGAAAAGCAGTAAACTAGAATACACCCTCACCTTAGCTGCTGCCAAATTCACACTTGGTTGCCGGCTAAGTGTTAATAACGCGACACATACTTGAAGTTGTTGAACGTCCTCCTCACCACAACCTTCACTTTGAAACTGACCCGTTGCCCCGGCGCTATGGTGAACTGCGATGGCACCACCCTCACTCTCACTGCCTCAGGGACAGTAACCGTCACCCTATACGTCGATGTGGTGCCTGAGACACTCGTCACAGTCCGCCTAGCGGCGAGTTTATTCACTACCAGTGGTATGTTCACCAGCGAGATAGACGGCCGGTTTAGGTGCCTCGCTGCAACGGGTTTCAGTGGCACCTGCCCGAATGCCTCTCGGGCCATTGTGAAATTCATCCCAGCAAGAAAGTTGCGGAAATCTTGCTCCTCGGCATCGTAGGTCAGCCCAGGGTCAAGCGCCCTAGCGGGAAACACATGCCCCGCTCCCATCTGCCACAGAGTCGCCGGCTTGCCGTTCACATTCCGGATCATTCTGTTGCTGTTGTCTGTACTGCCAGCTGTCGTCATCATGGCAGACATGACCTGCGCGGGCGTCCAATCAAGATGCTGCTGGATGATCAGAGCAGCCACACCGGCCACATGCGCCGCCGCCACGGCAGTCTCGTTATTGTAAGCCGAAAACGACCCCGTCTCGCCGACGGTTGTCCCGGGAGCAGCCGCAAGGATGTCGGCCCCCGGGGCGATGATGTCGGGCTTGAGAATGGTGTTGGAGGGGCGGGCTTTCTTCGGGCGGCAGACAGTGCAGCCCCGCGCGGCAAGAGGGCTGGTGGAGGACCATTCGGGAACCATGGGGAGGGAGGTGGCTGCAGGGGAGATGGTGGTGGGGAGTTGGGTGCGGAGATAACTGCAGCAACGGGAGCTAGGCTACGGGCTAGGCACGTGTGCTCGTGTGATCTCTGCGTTCTCTGTTCCTTAGTCGTTTTCCTTGTGTACACACTACTTGCTAGTTCACGGGGAAAATTGGCAAGAGTTTCACTAGGAAAAGTTCAGAACAACTGGTACAATGAAGTTGGCATAGCATGACTACATCAGAGCAAGCATTCAGGTCGGCCAACTGCCAGCGCAGCTTGGTCGACCGCGTTCCAGCACGACTTGGTCGACCGCACTCCAGCAAGGCAAGGTCGACGGCGTGCCAACGTCGCAGGTTGACGGCGTGCCAGCGTTGCTCACGCAGGACAGCAGTGCACCCGCCTCGCAAGTGTGCGTAGCTGATTGGCGTGCAGAGTCCCGTCACCTGCACAGCGCACACTCCACGTCAACCTCGAGCTGACGACTGCCTCTGGTCCGCCACGACGACCTCGGGATACCACCACCGAGGTCGTGCTCGCCACCTTTGCCTGGGCGACCGTCGCACTTCTCCGCAGCACCGAGGTCGTGCTCGCCACCTTTGCCTGGGCGACCGTCGCACTTCTCCGCAATTCGTCACCCAGGTAACCTGGTCGACCGGGCAACCACGTCGACCAGCAGCTCTTGCACGTGCCCGTCGACCTCCCAAGTCGACGACCACCCCAAGTCGACCTCCTCAGGTCGACCACTACTCCCTGGTCGACCAGCTCCAAGTCGACATCACTCCTGGTCGACCAGAAGGGCTGGTCGACTTCCCAGGTCGACCAGGATGGTCTGGTCGACGTCCCAGGTCGACCAGAAGGTCTGGTCGGCGTCCCGGGTCGACCAGACGAAGTTGGCGCCCTCCTGAAGTCGGCGCCCATGCAGTGGCTCCCCGTGCAGGTCGACTAACCTCGTCGACCAACTCGCCCACTGCTGCAGGTCGGCTGCACCCTACACCCGACCACGAAGTCGGCTCCGCCCAGGCGTGGACGGGGCCAACATACAACTCCCGTTGACATTGGGTTCCCAGCAGTGTTGATGCTGATGGGCCTGTGGTGTTTGCTGGAGATTCTAACGCTGCTGCTGTTGTTGTAGACGATGAAGTGAGGGATTCCTGGGGCACGGTACTGCATGGTGGGGCAGGGAGAGTGATGGGAGGAGATCCGGGGAGATGCGAGGAGATGCGAGGAGATGCGAGATGGAAGACGAGGGAGGAGGTGCAAGAGGAGGGAGAAGAGCATGGAAAAAGGCATGAACCAAGGAAGAGAGAAGGGAAGAAGGGACAATGCAAAGCTGCAGCGTGCAAAACAAGCAACCTTCTGCTTCGGGAACAATCTACCCCTGCCACTCCCTAGCAAGTGCTCCCCGTGCTCACCTGGCCCCCACGCTGATATAGTAGGGTGCAAAGTTGTCAATGGCAGGGAAAGGACCGTACAGGTAACGGTAAAAGGACCTCCCCTCATCGCCCACTGCAAAAGACACAGTCACCCCGGCCTGGGGGAGGGAGGAGGGGGAGAGTGTATGTTTTGAAGGCGCTCTTAAAACATACTACAGTCACTCCGACCTGGAGGAGAGAGTCACCCTCGCTACAGTCACTCCGACCTGGAGGAGAGAGTCACCCTCGCTACAGTCACTCCGACCTGAAGGAGAGAGTCACCCTCGCTACAGTCACTCCGACCTGGAGGAGAGAGTCACCCTCGCTACAGTCACTCCGACCTGGAGGAGAGAGTCACCCTCGCTACAGTCACTCCGGCTTGAAGGAGGGTGAGGGGGGAAACACAGGCAAGAGGAGGTGGCGCCTTCTGAGGCGCCCTAAAGAGGCGAGTGGCTGATATGGGGTTTCAATCGCATTCCGTACCAGTGTATACTCGAGTGATGCACCCACCCACCACATTGGCAGGGACACGTATGAGTGTGATAGAAAAGCACGCTCGGATCAGCCAGCAAATCCACTCCCTACGCGCATGCTCTTCATAACCACAGGATGCTCCTCACACCCACCGCATGCTCCTCACACCCACCGCATGCTCCTCACACCCACCGCATGCTCCTCACACCCACTGCAAGAGCGCCGATGAAAGGCACGTCGTCAAAGTAGGTCCAATTCCACTTGTCAAACTGATCCCAGTCCGCGTTTCTGTTCGTGTTGTCCAGGGACAAGGTGAGCACATCCACACCGTCCGCCACTGCCTGATCAACGGCTGCAAAGACATCTGCGTCGGTAGTGACAGACTCGCCAGGTCCGCCCAGATACCAATACACCTTGTAGACGGCCAGGCGTGCCCGGGGAGCCACGCCACTGATGGTGCCTCCGCCAGGCACCTCCACGCCGCTGTTGCCCGCTGCCGCTCTGAGAGTGGAGATGCATGGGACACGGAGGGAGCGGGTATGAGGGGGCGTGTGGGACAGGGGAGGGGCGGCTACGAAGGGAATGACCTTGTCATGCCATGCACATGCTCTTCTTCCATTCCCTGTCTGCCAAACCACTTTAAACACACGCATTGCCATCCCATCCCATGCAATGCCATGCCGTCCCATGCCATGCCATGCCATGCCATACCATGCCATGCCGTCCCATCCCATGCCATGGCATAGTGTGTTATGGGACTCACCACACGGTCCTAACTTCCTGCACTCACCCGGCACACCACGTGCCATGGCCATCAGAATCGCGCGGGGAGGCCCACTCGTCATCGTGTCGGCCCTGTCCTCCATATTCGCTCTCAAACCCCGCGCGAAAGATGCCCCCTCCGATGATCTTGTTGTTACAAGCGAAGTCGCTTGTAGTGGGACACGTGCCCGCCCACCCGGCAGGGGGCGTGCTGCTGTAGCCCTGGTGGGGGGGAGGATGTGGGGTGCACGGGGGTAGTTAGGTTGGAGAAAGTGCTGGTGATAGTGGATTGCTATATCGGGACCGGGAGGCAAAACAGAAAGGACGAGGGAGTCAAAGAGCGGGGTGCAGACGGAGAGAGAGGAGCAGCAGCAATAGCAGCAGCAGCAGCAGCAGCAGCAGCAGCAGCAGCAGCAGAAACCCATAGGCGAAGAGCAATGCGTGGCAGTGAACGTACAGTGTCGTCAAAGGAGGGGTGCTCCGGCCAAACGCCGCTGTCCAGAATTCCAATCACCGTGCCTTCGCCATCACTCGGCGCTCCAGCAGGAGTGGCAGCAGCAGCAGCGGGGGTGGCAGCAGCAGGAGCGGCAACATCAGCAGCACGGGCGTGGGGCAGGTTGAGAGACTTGTGCCCGTCGGCGGCGGTAGTGACGGCGCGGCGGCGTATGATGGTGCGAGAGAGTGTGACAGATGCCACAGAGGGGTGCCGCCTCATGCGCTGCACCTGCGCTGCCGTGAGGGCCGCCGAGAAGCCGTTGTCCGTGTGCACGTAGCTGAGGGGGGAGGGAAAGCGTACAAGGGGGGGGGGAGCATAGGGGGAGGGAAAGCGTACAGGGGGAGGGAAAGCGTACAGGGGGAGGGAAAGTGTACAAGGGAGGGAAAGGGGGGAAGCATACAGGGGGAGGGAAAGCGTAGAGGGGGAGGGAAACTGTACAGGGGGAGGCGAGGGAAGGAAGGGAGGCAGGCGTGTAGGGGAAGTTGAGAGGGGGTGGGCACGGGAGGGCGTGAGGGTCGCCGAGAAGCCATTGGATGCGTGCAACAGCCTTCACACCAGATTGAACACACACGTCCGCTCACCTGTTGAACGTTCTCTAGAGTGTCGCTCACCTGTTACCGCCCTTTGCATGCGCTGCTGCATTATCGCCCTTTGCATGCGCTGCTGCATTACCGCCCTTTGCATGCGCTGCTGCATTATCGCCCTTTGCATGCACTGCTGCATTACCGCCCTTTGCATGCGCTGCTGCATTATCGCCCTTTGCATGCGCTGCTGCATTACCGCCCTTTGCATGCGCTGCTGCATTACCGCCCTTTGCATGCGCTGCTGCATTATCGCCCTTTGCATGCGCTGCTGCATTATCGCCCTTTGCATGCGCTGCTGCATGACCGCCCTTTGCATGCGCTGCTGCATTACCGCCCTTTGCATGCGCTGCTGCATTACCGCCCTTTGCATGCGCTGCTGCAGCACCACGCTGGCAGCAATGAAGTCCCCAAATCTCTTCTCACGCTCACCTGCATACCATCGTTCCCCTCACCTATACACCATCTTCCCGGCAGCCACCCCGCTGTCTCTCAGCACGGCCTGCTGCATGCGCTGCAGCAGCTGCTTGAACGCCCTCACGCCCGGCGCCCTCACGTTCAACCGCGGCCGCCACAGCGGACGGTTTGTGCCCCCTGAACCGCTGGTGGCAGTGGCAGCAGCCGCAGCAGCAGGAGCAACAGACGCAGTGCCAACGCTACCGTTGCTTGGAACAGAAGCCGCGCCAACGCCATCGCCGGCCTCATCGCTTGATGCGGCGCCTGGAGTGTGGCCGTTAGGGTTGTTGTCCCAAGCGGCCGTTGCCGGGTAGCCGGCGAATCCGCCGCGGTACGAGGCAATGGGCGGTGCAGAGCGCAGGCGGACGATGTAGATCGCGGAGCCATGGGAGGGGGAAGCTGCGGGGGATGGGGGGAACAGGACAAGGGGGGGGGCTGAGCGCAAGAGCATAGGAGGCGGAGGATGCGTTACAAGGAGATGCTACGACCCCGTTCTAGGATGCTACGACCTGGTTCTAGGATGCTACGAGTGGTGGTGTGTGGCCGTTTGCTCACCGACGTTGCTGGGGCGCGAGAGCGTTACGGGTAGAGAGAGGAGGAGCAATAGAAGTAGGAAAAGGAGAGCCCATAGTCGAGAATGTTGTTTCTCGAAACGCAACGCGTGTTGTTTCTCGGAATACTTGGGAATTAGCGAGTGTTCTTTTTGAGAAGCCATCATGACAGCGATAGGAGGTAGAACGACAGTAGATTTGAACACAAAAATAAGCACGAGGGAATCGGGGACGTACTATCCGCTACGAGCACAAGAAAGAGTGATACTTCATGAACCAAGCAAGTGTGATACCTCGTGAACCATGCAAGTGTGATACCTCGTGAAACCAAGAAAGTGTGGTACCTCGTGAATCCAAGAAGATGCGGCATGGTCGACGAAGCTAAGAAGCCTTCCCGCGGCCCTCTGGCGTTACTGGTTCTTGCACGCGGGTCGTAGAGGTTCTTGCTCGGTCGTGCGGGTCTCAGATGGAAGGCATGCTCGTGTGACATGATCAGTGGTACATGATAATGCGCTGCTAGTGTCGCGCTAGTGCCGTGCCGAGGGTGTGTGCCTTGTCTACACATAATGCGCTGTCAAGCTGGAAAGGCCACAAACATATCATCAGCTAATCCCGAGGGGCGGGCAATGGAAAACCAATCACCTTGCAATTTCTCGAATGTGCCACGCCTGCAACCTTGAGAGTTGGTCGCCAACTCGTTTGCAGATTAGTGAATCTTTCTCATATGTACAGTCAGATGCCAATCGCGCAAGTGAGAAAGGATTGCGTCAGAGTATGAATAAGAATCATACAGATTTCTGCTAATGCTTGATATAACATGACTTCCACGTATAGCCTCAATCACCAAGATTCTTCAAACCTATTTATGCTTTAATTTTACTACTACAACTTATTTCACTTTTATTGACAGATCCTGATCACATGTCTGTACTTAACTAATCTCCAGTAGCTCATACTTTCGCGGGTCCAGCACGCCGCCGTGTTCAACTCCAGTAACCCAATGCAGTCCATGCAAAATTCGAGTGTAGCAAAAAAACTTGGTACGCCCATGCAACCAATGAGAAGGCCAGAAGGCTGTATTGAGGGTGAAATGTGAGCCGCTCATATATTGCACCAATCAAACGGATCGAAGGGCTCTCCATGCCTTCGTACTGCAAGCACAAGGAGACAAGGTGCATGCAAAAAAAGAAAAGGAAAAAAAAACACTTAACATCCATGGCTACCCTCTTAAAATATACCTCTTTCGACCACAGGCATGCACAAACAGCACTGAACCAACCATTCGTAGAATGGGAACCCTGAATGGGAGAGGCACGAAACCCTTTTAGAGCAATCCTCCCAGAATCAGAAGTGCAGATGCATGCTCACCTTCAAAGTGCAGATGCATGCTCACCTTCAAAGTGCAGATGCATGCTCACCTTCAAAGTGCAGATGCATGCTCACCTTCAAAGTGCAGATGCGTGCTCACCTTCAAAGTGCAGATGCGGCCCCATGGACCGACCAGTGTTGCCCACCAGCGCCACCACCTGCCCTGCTCGCACCCTCTGCTGGGGTGAAGAGACGAGTGGAAACGGAGAGTGCAGGGGGGCGGGGGACGGGTGGGTGGGGAGGGAGAAAGCGTGTGCAGATGCGACCCCATGGACCGGCGGCCAGAGTTGCCCACCGGCACCACCACCTGCCCTGCTCGCACCCTCTGGGGGAGTCAAGCAGCGATTGAAAGGGGGTGTTGAGAGTGACTGAAGAGTGCAGGGAAAGGGGGGTGTTGAGAGTGACTGAAGAGTGCAGGGAAAGGGGGTTGTTGAGAGTGACTGAAGAGTGCAGGGAAAGGGGGTGTTGAGAGTGACTGAAGAGTGCAGGGAAAGGGGGTTGTTGAGAGTGACTGAAGAGTGCAGGGAAAGGGGGTGTTGAGAGTGCGGGCTGCAGCTGTGACGAGCACCAGCAGAGGTAGAGTGGTGCATGACGCAGGTGGGGAGGCAGGAATGCAGGAGTGCAGGAAGGTGGAGAGGGGTGCATGGGAGTTCCTAAAGGCCACGCACCAGCTCCATTACCTGCCCTGCATGCATGCTCTGGAGGAGTCAAGGGAGGGGAAGCGTGCAGTCAAGGGAGGGGAAGCGTGCAGTCAAGGGAGGGGAAGCGTGCAGTCAAGGGAGGGGAAGCGTGCAGTCAAGGGAGGGGAAGCGTGCAGTCAAGGGAGGGGAAGCGTGCAGTCAAGGGAGGGGAAGCGTGCAGTCAAGGGAGGGGAAGCGTGCAGTCAAGGGAGGGGAAGCGTGCAGTCAAGGGAGGGGAAGCGTGCAGTCAAGGGAGGGGAAGCGTGCAGTCAAGGGAGGGGAAGCGTGCAGTCAAGGGAGGGGAAGCGTGCAGTCAAGGGAGGGGAAGCGTGCAGTCAAGGGAGGGGAAGCGTGCAGTCAAGGGAGGGGAAGCGTGCAGTCAAGGGAGGGGAAGCGTGCAGTCAAGGGAGGGGAAGCGTGCAGTCAAGGGAGGGGAAGCGTGCAGTCAAGGGAGGGGAAGCGTGCAGTCAAGGGAGGGGAAGCGTGCAGTCAAGGGAGGGGAAGCGTGCAGTCAAGGGAGGGGAAGCGTGCAGTCAAGGGAGGGGAAGCGTGCAGTCAAGGGAGGGGAAGCGTGCAGTCAAGGGAGGGGAAGCGTGCAGTCAAGGGAGGGGAAGCGTGCAGTCAAGGGAGGGGAAGCGTGCAGTCAAGGGAGGGGAAGCGTGCAGTCAAGGGAGGGGAAGCGTGCAGTCAAGGGAGGGGAAGCGTGCAGTCAAGAGAGGGGAAGCGTGCAGTCAAGGGAGGGGAAGCGTGCAGTCAAGGGAGGGGAAGCGTGCAGTCAAGGGAGGTGAAGCTAAACGAGAGGTGAGGAGAGGGGAGTGTGCGGAGTGAAAGCAGGGCAGGCTGGGAAAGCATTTGAATGAACGGGCCTAAGATAGAAACGAGTCTGAGGAGCACCCCTTGTGGCCCACCACTGGGATGGCTCCACCACTGGGATGGCTCCACCACTGGGATGGCTCCACCACTGGGATGGCTCCACCACTGGGATGGCTCCACCACTGCGATGGCTCCACTTGCAGCAACCTACTCGACACATGACAGCAGCCCACCTGCCCCGCTTGCACGAGCATCTTGGAGCAGTGCGCGTAGTGGGTGGTGAAGCCCGCCTCGTGCGCCAGTGTGACCAGATTGCCATACCTGATGTGGGGTGGAGGGGAGCGGGGGGGGGAAGGGGGTGAAGGTAGCTGGGAGGTTGTTGGAACGTTTCAGAACTGTGCCTGCCTCGTGGGGGTTGAAGCCTGCCTCGTGGGGGTTGAAGCCTGCCTCGTGGGGGTTGAAGCCTGCCTCGTGGGGGTTGAAGCCTGCCTTGTGGGGGTTGAAGCCTGCCTCGTGGGGGTTGAACCCTGCCTCGTGGGGGTTGAAGCCTGCCTCGTGGGGGTTGAAGCCTGCCTTGTGGGGGTTGAAGCCTGCCTCGTGGGGGTTGAAGCCTGCCTCGTGGGGGTTGAAGCCTGCCTCGTGGGGGTTGAAGCCTGCCTCGTGGGCCACTGTGACCAGATTGCCGTACCTGGCCTGGGGTGCGGGGTGGAAAGGGGAGGAGGCAGTTTGGAGAGCGCTGTGACTTTAAAAAGGTACGCATAGTAAGAGGTACATCCCGCCTCGTGCTTCAGCGTCACCAAAATGTCGTACCTGGCATGGGGTGGTGGAGGGGAGAGGCAGTTGGGGAAGCATTGAGAAGCTTATCTGGGCGAGGTGGCTGGTGAACGTCTGGGCGAGGTGGCTGGTGAACCCTGGTTCTTGAGTGAGCCGGTGACTCAATGGCTGCACCTGGCATGGGGTGGTCAGGGAGATACTTTTGAGCCGTTTCAAAGCCCAATTCATCATTCCTGGTTGCTGGGTGCTGGGTGCTGGGTGCTGGGTGCTGGGTGGTGGGTGGTGGGTGGTGGGTGGTGGGTGGTGGGTGGTGGGTGCTGGGTGGTGGGTGCTGGGTGCTGGGTGCTGGGTGCTGGGTGCTGGGTGCTGGGTGGTGGGTGGTGGGTGGTGGGTGGCGGGTGGCGGGTGGAAGAGGCGCACGCGAGAGGAGAGCAAGGGGTAAGCGATTGAAGGCAAGTCAAAAAGAAGTGAGACGAGAGCAGAGGAGAGGACAAGGAGGATATAGGCACTGCGAGGTAACTCGTGAGTATAGTGAATCAACTCAAAAGACAGCGCCCAGAGGTAGCACATGCGACCACTAGCATCGCCACTGTCATTGCGCACCAAGCTCACACACATTTCCCAGATTCTTGCACCTCCATGCCAGTGGTGGTAGCACACACACACGACCACTAGCATTGCCACTGGCAGCACCTCATGTGTCCATCACGGCACTGGCAGCACCTCATGTGCCCATCACGACACTCACACGTCCATGTCTCCGACATGCGTCACCACGCCACTGCGAGCCGCTCTGATTGGCTCTCCCTCCTCTGCGGCCACGTCAACGCCCTGTTGGGAAAGGAGATGCAGAAGGGATGGGTGAGAGATGAGGGAAACAGTTTGAGGACGCATTTGCTCTCGATCGAGTTTCTCTCATGCTGCCTGGCGCACTCTTCAGAGAAGAAAAGTGAGAGATTTCTGCAGTTGGCTACGCTTGTGCGGCGTCGGAGTTTTCTCTAAGAGTAACCAATGTTGCCTAGAGCATGCATTTCCGAGAGAAGCGAAGCAAACATGACTGACGACTAGGGGCAAGTCGGCACCTGTAAAACGATTGGGTGCGTCTGGAAAGGAATGAGCGGCTGGGAGGGAATACGGTGCCGCACAGCAGTGCAGTGCAGTGCAGTGCAGTGCAGTGCAGTGCAGTGCAGTGCAGTGCAGTGCAGTGCAGTGCACTCACCCGATGAAAGGACCCCCATCTGGGCCCAAAGGGGCTGCTCACGAAGCTGAGCGTGGAGACAAATGGGACGGCGGGAGCGAAAGGGGGGAGGGGCATGCAGGCCTTTTCGGCCCCCTCAAAAGCAGGCACTGAGGAGCAGCACTCACCCGATGAAAGGACCCCCATCTGGGCCCAAAGGGGCTGCTCACGAAGCTGCGATTGTGTTGTGGCACAGGGGGGCAGAGAGAGGGGTGACACATGGAGGTGCGAGGGAATGAGCAGGCAGCAGCAGGGGTGTTGATAAAGCTGCATGTTTGGCGGGGGCCCGGGCCGGGGGCGGGAGCACGTGGAGGGAGCACATGGATGCATGGAGCACATGGATGCATGGAGCACATGGATGCATGAAGCACATGGATGCATGGAGCACATGGATGCATGGAGCACATGGATGCATGGAGCACATGGATGCATGGAGCACATGGATGCACAATACAGCCCTGCCTTGTACCCTTGCACAATACAGCCCTGCCCTGTACCCTTGCACAATACAGCCCTGCCCTGTACCCTTGCACAATACAGCCCTGCCCTGTACCCTTGCACAATACAGCCCTGCCCTGTACCCTTGCACAACGACAATACAGCCCTGCCCTGTACCCTTGCACAATACAGCCCTGCCCTGTACCCTTGCACAATACAGCCCTGCCCTGTACCCTTGCACAATACAGCCCTGCCCTGTACCCTTGCACAACGACAATACAGCCCTGCCCTGTACCCTTGCACAATACAGCCCTGCCCTGTACCCTTGCACAACGACAATACAGCCCTGCCCTGTACCGTCCCATGCGAGCCTCACCAGTCAGAGCAGCCATCCATGGGCGAGCGCAGAGGCAGCCACCCCTGCAGCAGCCGGTGAAACCCCTTCCTCCGTGCCTCATCCCACCGCGCTGCATCCATTTGCAGCAGGGGTTGAGAAGCGCAGGTGGAAGGGAGGAAAGGAAGAATGACAAGTTTCGGGTTGCTGGCTGGCGGGGGAAGGCAGCCAGCCAGCACAAAAGGTGGGAAGAAAACTCGTGAGAAATCTCGAAAGAAAGATCTAAACAATGGGGAACGAAGCTCTTGCTCGGTTACAAGAACCAAATGCAATACGTTGCCTTCTTCCCAGTTATGCCTATCCTTTACCCTAAGCCTGGAAGGTCAGAAGAGGAGGTCGAAGCCACACTGGTGGGTAATGCTGCTAGCATGTGCATGTGCATGGTGCTAGCATGTGCATGGTGCTAGCAAATGCATGGTGCTAGCAAGTGCATGGTGCTAGCAAGTGCATGGTGCTAGCACATGCATGGTGGTAGCATGTGCATGGTGCTAGCAAATGCATGGTGCTAGCATATGCATGGTGCTAGCACATGCATGGTGCTAGCATATGCATGGTTCTAGCATGTGCATGGTGCTAGCAAATGCATGGTGCTAGCATATGCATGGTGCTAGCATATGCATGGTGCTAGCATATGCATGGTTCTAGCATGTGCATGGTGCTAGCAAATGCATGGTGCTAGCATGTGCATGGTGCTAGCAAATGCATGGTGCTAGCAAATGCCTATACACGGGCCCTCATCCCAGCATCCCAGTATCACTGTGTGCCAAAGGCCATCCCATCCGTCCCTCTGCCTGCCTTTTGCTTGGTTCAGCCGGTGCCGTGTGCCAGGGTGGAAGCGCCACGTGTCGCGCTGTGGTTGGCCGAGGGCTGGTGGGCGGACCCACAGGCGCGAGAAGAGCAGGCGGTTGGTGCGGCGGAGGCCAGGGCGGACGTCAAGGGGAGGGGGGGTGATGGCGCCTGGAGAGAAGGGGGGGAAGAGCAGGGCACGGGGGGTAGGGCTTTGAGTCGACTCAAAACACGGGGGGTAGGGTTTTGAGTCGACTCAAAACACGGGGGGTAGGGTTTTGAGTTGACTCAAAATACCGGGGGTAGGGTTTTGAGTCGACTCAAAACACGGGGGGTAGGGTTTTGAGTCGACTCAAAACACGGGGGGTAGGGTTTTGAGTCGACTCAAGACACGGGGGGTAGGGTTTTGAGTCGACTCAAAACACGGGGGATAGGGTTTTGAGTCGACTCAAAACACGGGGGGTAGGGATTTGATTCGACTCAAAACACGGGGGGTAGGGTTTTGAGTCGACTCAAAACACGGGGGGTAGGGTTTTGAGTCGACTCAAGACACGGGGGGTAGGGTTTTGAGTCGACTCAAAACACGGGGGGTTGGGATTTGAGTCGACTCAAGACACGGGGGGTAGGGTTTTCAGTCGACTCAAAACACGGGGGGTAGGGTTTTCAGTCGACTCAAAACACGGGGGGTAGGGTTTTGAGTCGACTCAAGACACGGGGGGTAGGGTTTTCAGTCGACTCAAAACACGGGGGGTAGGGTTTTGAGTCGACTCAAAACACGGGGGGTAGGGTTTTCAGTCGACTCAAAACACGGGGGGTAGGGTTTTGAGTCGACTCAAAACACGGGGGGTAGGGAGGGCTACATCTGCAGGCGGTTGGTGCGGAGCAGGCCCGGGCGCACGTCAAGGGGCAGGGGGGGGTATGGCGCCTGGAGCAGGGGGGATAAGGGGCAAGGGGAGAGGGAATGAGCGGGCTGGTTGGGGATGGGCGACCGAAGAGCAGGCGGTTGGTGCGGCGCAGGCCAGGGCGCACGTCAAGGGGAGGGTTGTTGATGGGCCCTGGAAGGGGGAGGTGAGTGTGGGGGGGATGGGTAGGGGGACGGCGAGTTGGGGGGGGAGGGTGTGGGAAAATGGGGAGATGGGTGATAGAGGTGACGGCAGCTAATGTGGTGGCGACTGTGTAGCACATCAGGGGGAGAGGGGGTGATGGCGCCTGGAGAAGAGGAAGGGGTGGAGCGGGGGAAATCGAGGGGGGAAGGGGGAAAGCGGAAGGGGGGAAGCGGAAGGGGGAAAGCAGAAGGGGGGAAGGTCGGGGGAAAGGGAAGTGGATAGCGGATGGGAGATAGAAGTGGAGGCGGTTGGTGCAGCAGCGACCGGATCACACGTCAGGAAGGAGAGGAAAGTATGCGATGAAGATCATGCGATGATGATCATGCGATGATGATCATGCGATGATGATCATGCGATGATGATCATGCGATGATGATCATGCGATGATGATCATGCGATGATGATCATGCGATGATGATCATGCGATGATAATCATGCGATGATGATCATGCGATGATGATCATGCGATGAAGATCATGCGATGATGATCATGCAATAATGTGATGTGATGTACCTTTAGGTGCAAGCAGCACCGCGCCTTCATATAAGGCATCTGACTGCATCCCGTTTATTCTCTGCAACTCGCGTATAGTCACACTGCACACAGTCACAGAAGAGGAGGTTTCAATGAAAAAGGACGCATGGCCAAAGAGCATAGTTTATTTGTCAGACAAAGCAGGAGTAGTGTTCATACAATCTGAGAATGGCATGTGGAAGAGGATAGGGTCCTGTTTGTCCGGCACACGAACAAAAGCATTGCCCTTTACTAATGCAAATGGTCCTATCTCCGTTAGAAGCAGGCAGCACTCTTCTCGTTACAAGAAGCTCTAACAAACGCCTCTATCAACATGTCTGATGATCAGTATGGTACTGCCATTGGTGGCATGCGTTCAGGTTACAAGAAGCACCAGAAAACGAACAGCGCCTCCATCCCTACAACACGACTGCACCCGATTGCACCCACTTGCACCGCTTGCACCTCCCTCTTTCACCTGAATCTCACAGCGAGGGCGGCCAGCGTGTTCAGTACCGCACAACAAACAGCTTGCACCCAGTTGGACCGACGTGGACCCATTTGCACCGCTCCCACCTCCCCTGCCTCACCTGAATCTCACGGCGAGGGCGGCCAGAGTGTCACCATACCGCACAACAAACGGCTTCAGGGGAACCTTCCGCGCATCTACCCGGCTGCCCCACAGGTTGTACGGATCCACGACCAGCTGCATTGCGCCACGTGGCAACACTGGACGCTTCCCCGTCGATAGTGTCCCTGTCATGAGCCCTCTTCGCTCTGATTGGCTCGCCAACTGCACCTTGGGATCTGCTCGCTTCGAAATTTCTGTTCGGCTGCTCCGTTTTCTCCTTTGCTGCTCTGTTTGACTGCTTTGACCGCCACGTGTCACGTTCTGAGGACTACCCTGCGAGCCGCGTCGGCTGACGGCGCGGATGGACATGGACGCGGGAGGCGAAGCCGATCCGGCAGTAGGAGGCTCCCGAATCGCCTGACTTGCCACGTCGGCATCGTCGATCCTGACAGCCGCATTTTCAGCTGCCGTGATAAGGACGATTGCAACGTCCTCTGCGCTTCCCCCGCCGCTTTCCCCGCTCCCCCCGCCACTCCCTCCGCTCCCCCCTCTTTCCACGTCTGGCGCGGGCAATTTCTGGGTCATGCCGCGCCGCGCGGAGCCGAGAACACCCGCCGCTGATTTAAACGACTCGCAAAACCTCCTCGGTGCCGGCCGGATAACCTGCGGCTGGCGCGGATGGTAAGACGGTTCCTTTTCGTTCAGCTGATTCGCTAACGTTTCTGGAATGGAAGAGAATGGGGGTTTCAGGAGGTTGGCTCAGGTAGCAATCAGGAGGAATACGGGAGACGGGATTCTCGAGAAAGGCATTCGGAAGGCGTCATGAGGGGCGCTGCGCGGTGAGGCGAGGAGTGGCTGGAATGGCGGCGGTGGAAAGAGAAACGCTGAAGAAAGACGTTTTACAGCGTGGCAACAAAAGTGCATAGGGAAATGTGAAGTTCAGAAATTTGTCACGACATTGACAAGGTGATGTACGTCAGCCGGGAATCGAACCCGGATCTCTTGCTTGGAAGGCAAATATCCTAACCATTGGACTACTGACGTTGCAAACCGTTAGTCTTGGTCTCTTCTGTTCTCATTTTTCTTGTTGGGTCCTTGAACGACATAATAATGGGGTAACCTCGCGAGGGTTTCCCAACATACCCTTCATTTTGGTGCTGAGTGTTTGGGATGAAAGCATGCACCAGCAGGGTCGTTCGAAGTCATGTGCGTTGTTGAGTTTCTTGTAGTCATTGAGCGTTGTTGAGCTGATTAGGGCGCGTAACCATTTTGCATTTTATGTTTTATTACATGACTTCGAATTAGTCCTCAATTAGTCCTCAGAACGTGTAACGTTCTGAGTTGTGCGGCAGTTGTGTAACGTTCGAAGTCATGTAATAAAACATAAAATGCAAAATGGTTACGCAACGAGTCTCAATGTTTTATTACTCGTTGCACAACTGTTGTATTACATGTGACTTCGGCATTCCACCTGAACCGCACGACCAAGCAGGAACCTCTACGACCATAGTCGTGCCAGCAAGGCAGAGAGCAAAGAGCCATGACGATGAGGTCAGGGAGGAAAGCGAGGCAAGGGGAGAAAGGGAATGTCCGGGAGTCCGGAAATCAAAGTTCGGGAATTGCACATGACACGTCCCATGACTTTCTGGAGCAGTCGTCGTAGCGACAGCAGCTAGAGTCTCGAGGATAAATCTCCGAGTTCCTCAGCATTTTCTTTGTCATTTTCCTGCTGCTACAACAATCTCTCTATGGCTTCTCTTAAGCAACACTCGCATGCTGAGAAACAACATTCGTTGCTTTATGATGAACGGCATTGTCGATCATGGGCTTTTCTTGTCCTCCAATCGCTCCTCCTCACTCTAACCGGAACGCTCTCCCGCCCCACCAACGCTGGTGAGCAAACGGCCACACACCATGGCAAATAAAAAAATAATCAGGCTCATAGCATCCCCTTTACATCCTCAGCCTAGTATGCTCCCTCCCTTCCCCCACTCACTCCCATTTCTCATCTCTCCCTGGCCCTTCTCTCCCAGCCAACAACTCGGAGCTGCCCGTATTGATGCCGCACGGCATTCTACGAGTTGTCCGCCTACGTTCCCTCCCCCTTCCCCTGTCATTTCCAAGCCTCCCGCACGCTCCACCTCACCCCATGTTTCCCCTGCTCTGCCGCTTCCTGCCGCCTCTTTCCCTCATCCCCCCCTCGTCCTGTTTCCCCTATCCCCCGCAGCTTCCGCCCCCCATGCCTCCGCGCTCTACATCGTCCGCCTGCGCTCTGCACCACCAGTCGCCTCGTACCGCGGTGGAATCCCCGGCTTCCCGGCAACGGCCGTGTGGGGCAGCGACCCTAACGGCAACACAATAGATGCGTCGGCGGACGATGCAGCCAACGGTGCCGATGCAGCCAACGGTGCCGATGCAGCCAACGGTGCCGATGCAGCCAACGGTGCCGATGCAGCCAACGGTGCCGGCGCGGCAGCTCGCTCAAACTCCTCTGTTGCAAGCAACGGTGGCGTTGGCGCTGCTTCTGGTGCTCCTGTAACGGCTGCGGCTGCTGTCACTGCCAGCGGAGGGGGGACCAGCCGTCGGGCTCGCCGGCGGCCGCGGTTGAACATGAGGGCGCCGGGCGTGAGGGCGTTCAAGCAGCTGCTGCAGCGCATGCAGCAGGCCGTGCTGAGAGACAGCGGGGTGGACGCGGGGAAGATGCTCTACAGGTGAGCGTGAGGGGAATGTGGGGGGCTCGTACAAGTTCATCCCGTGGCCCCCACTTCCTCCCCTCGACTGCCGCACAAGGCGTATCCATCACTTGTACACCCCGCCCGCACCACCACCGGGATACCGACTCGCACAAGTTCACTCTTTGCCCCCTTTCCTTGCCTCTCCCCCCCGCTGCACGCGCTCCCTTCCCCATCAGCTACAAGCACACAGACAACGGCTTTGCAGCGATCCTCACGGCAGCGCAGGTGCAGCGTATGAGGCGGCACCCCTCTGTGGCGTCCGTCACGCCCTCTCGCACCATCACACGCCGCACCACTAGCAGCACCGATGCGTACAAGTCCTTCAAGCTGCCCGATGCCCTCCCTTCTGCTGCTGCTGCTGCTGCTGCTGCTGCTGCTGCTCCCGTTGCTGCCACTCCCACTGCTCCTGCTGCTACAACTCCTGCTTCCGCCGCTACTACTGCTGCTGCCACTCCGGCTGGAGCGTCGAGCGACGGTGGCGAGGGCACGGTGATTGGGTTTGTGGACAGCGGTGTGTGGCCGGAGCACTCCTCCTTTAACGACACAGTACGCTGAGAGCCCACCCTCACTGCTCACCTCACCTTATACGCCCACCCTCACTGCTCACCTTATAAGCCCATCCTCACTGTTCACCTTATGAGCCCACTCTCACTGTTTCTTATGACCCGAACCTCACTGTTCGCGCTAGCTGTTTCACACGTTTCTCAGGGCTAGCTGTTTCACACGTTTCTCAGGGCTAGCTGTTTCACACACGTTTCTCAGGGCTAGCTGTTTCACACACGTTTCTCAGGGCTCCAAGCGCTTTTTCCAACTTATCTACCCACCTCCTCCAACCCCCACCTTGCGTGTCCCTGACATGGCTACAGCTGCATGCTCCCTTCCTTGCGGGTGGTTTGGCATGTGACACGACCCAGTCACCAGCACCCTATTACTGGTCACATTAACCCACTACTGCTCTTTCCCTCCAGCCTTCCAGCCTTCCTGTCCCACTTGCCTGTTGTGCTCCTGCTAACCTCCCACCGCCCCACCACTACACTGCCCCTCCACCCACTCAGTCACTACCCCTGCACCCCACATCCTCCCCCCACCAGGGCTACAGCAGCACGCTCCCTGCCGGGTGGGCGGGCACGTGTCCCACTACAAGCGATTTCGCTTGTAACAACAAGATCATCGGAGGGGGCATCTTTTACGCGGGGCTTGAGAGCGAGAATCGTGAGCTCGTCGGCAACTTTATGTCCCCGCGGGACACTGATAGCCATGGCACCTGGTGTGCTGGGTGAGTGCAGGGGTGTGCTGGGTGAGTGCAGGGGTGTGCTGGGTGAGTGCAGGGGTGTGCTGGGTGAGTGCAGGGGTGTGCTGGGTGAGTGCAGGGGTGTGCTGGGTGAGTGCAGGGGTGTGCTGGGTGAGTGCAGGGGTGTGCTGGGTGAGTGCAGGGGTGTGCTGGGTGAGTGCAGGGGTGTGCTGGGTGAGTGCAGGGGTGTGCTGGGTGAGTGCAGGGGTGTGCTGGGTGAGTGCAGGGGTGTGCTGGGTGAGTGCAGGGGTGTGCTGGGTGAGTGCAGGGGTGTGCTGGGTGAGTGCAGGGGTGTGCTGGGTGAGTGCAGGGGTGTGCTGGGTGAGTGCAGGGGTGTGCTGGGTGAGTGCAGGGGTGTGCTGGGTGAGTGCAGGGGTGTGCTGGGTGAGTGCAGGGGTGTGCTGGGTGAGTGCAGGGACGTGTGGTGAGTGCAGGGATGTGTGGTGCATGTTGCATGGTGCCTGCATGGTGCATGGTGCATGGTGTGTGGTGCATGGTGCATGGTGTGTGGTGCATGGTGTGTGGTATGTGGTGCATGGTGTGTGGTGCATGGTGCATGATGATGTTCCTACTTTGCAACTCCGACCACCCTCACTCTCTTATCAAAACCCCCTACCCTCAAACGTATGGCATGGCACTGTTAAACGCTGTTCATTATAGTTTGGCAGACATGGGGAAAGGAATGCATGTGGCAAGACCATTCCCCTCATAGTCGCTCATAGTCGCTCGCTCATAGCCGCTCATAGCCGCTCATAGCCGCTCATAGCCGCTCATAGCCGCTCATAGCCGCTCATAGCCGCTCAAAGCACTGTCAGACCCTCATAGAAACGGTACCCCTCATACCCGCTCCTTTTCTGTCCCATGCGCCCCTCATACCCGCTCCTTCCCTGTCCCATGCGCCCCCACTTCCGAGCGGCAGCAGGCAACAGTGCCATCAGCATGCCTGGCGGGAGCACCATCGGTGGCGTGGCTCCCAAGGCACGCCTGGCCATGTACAAGGTCCTTTGGGATATACCCATTGACACCACGGCCACTCCTTCCCTGTCCCATGCGCCCCCACCCTGCTCTCAGAGCGGCAGCGGGCAACAGTGGGGTTGAAGTGCCTGGCCGGGGCACCATCAGTGGCGTGGCTCCCAAGGCACGCCTGGCCATCTACAAGGTCTATTGGTATTATGGATACCCTGGTTACATGGACTTCGGCGCTACATACGCAGACGTCTTTGCAGCCGTGGATCAGGCCGTGGCGGACGGTGTGGATGTGCTGGCCGTGTATCTTCTTGGCGTACAACAGTCATACGCTCACAAACGAAACTACTTTGAAGATGTGCCTTTCATCGGCGCCCTTGCGGTGGGTGTGAGGGGCGTGCAGTGGGTGTGAGGGGCGTGCAGTGGGTGTGAGGGGCGTGCGGTGGGTGAGAGGGGCGTGCGGTGGGTGTGAGGGGTGTGAGGTGGGTGTGAGGGGCGTGCAGTGGGTGTGAGGGGCGTGCAGTGGGTGTGAGGGGCGTGCAGTGGGTGTGAGGGGCCTGTGGCTTCGTATTCACATACATACGTCCCTACTAACGCGGTGGCTGCAACCCGCCAGTACAAATCGGTATTGTAGATGCACTCATAATTGCTCTCATGATTGCACTCATGATTGCACTCATGATTGCACTCATGATTGCATACTCTTGTAACCCCCTTGTCAGCCATCCCTCACGCTGCTGTCTCAATTATGATGCGATCCTACTCTCTCTCACCCCAGCACCCTCCGGTAACTTTTCGTGCCCTAATTTTCTCACTTCTTGTCCTCCCTCCCTCTCTCCTTCCCTCCCTCCCTCCCTCCCTCCCTCCCTCCCTCCCTCCCTCCCTCCCTCCCTCCCTCCCTCCCTCCCTCCCTCCCTCCCTCCCTCCTTCCCTCCCTCCCTCCCTCCCTCCTCCATTCTTCAGGCAGGAGTGACTGTGGCGGTGGCAGCGGGCAACGAAGGGACGAGCAAGTACTATGAATATTGGACCGGCCGACTAGATGCCATCGCCTACTTTTCACCCTTCTATATCACCGTGGGGGCGAGGTGAGAATGGAGCACGCTCTAGAGAGTGACGGAGGTTGCACCCACAAGCTATGAGGACGGGCTATTACATGCTCTGCTGCAACATTGCACCCCTTTTTAGTGTGCGCTCGTTCACCTCTGCAGGCAAAGGCAGAGCCTGCTTGTTTCCCGTGGTGTGGTGCAGATTATGATTCTTCCTCTTCTACCGTCCTTGCTTCCTGCACTTTTCCACTCTCTCCTCCCTCGTCTTGCATCTCCTCCCTCAACCTGCGTCTCCTCTTGCCCTTCTCATGCTTGTCTACATCCTCCCTGCCCCACCATGCAGTACCGTGCCCCAGGCCTCGTTCATTTCAATGTCAACAACAACAGCAGCAGCTACACAAGCAGCGTCAAAATATCCTGCAAACACAACAGGTCCAACAGTATCATGGCCATCAGCAACAGCATCCCTCCCCATGTCAACACTGGTGGGATCCAGACTTCCTGCCACCACCACCCCTTCAGCATTTACCCACCCGAGGGTTCCCTATTGGTCCTCTACCGGCCCACTTATGGTGGCCCAATGTACCATCTGCAAGCCATGGAAAAATTACCCCACCAACGCCATTGTCAAGCCAGACATCATAGCCCCGGGAGTCAACATCCTTGCCGCTTATCCCGGGACAACAACCCCATCCATGTTCATGGCTGATAACGGCACGGGCATGGCGGCGGCGCTTGTGGCCGGTGTGGCTTCTCTCATCATCCAGCAGCATCCTGATTGGTCGCCCGCGCAGGTCATGTCTGCAATGATGACGACAGCGCGCCGCACAGACAACAGAAAGAGACTTATTAGAAATCTATATGTGAAGCCGGCATCACCGTGGCAAATGGGATCGGGGCATGTCTTTCCCGCTAGTGCGCTTAACCCTGGGTTAACCTATGATGCTGGGGAGCAAGATTTCCGCAACTTTCTTGCTGGGGTGAGGATGGAGAGGGCTCGAAAGGTGTTTGGAGACGTGCCACTGACACCCGTTCCAGCCAGGAACCTGAATCGGCCTGCTATCTCGCTGGTCAACATAGTGAATAAAGTTACCGCCATACGGACAGTGACGAGCGTCTCAGACACCACATCGACCTACAGGGTGAGGATCAAGGCCCCCAAGTTTGTGAGCGTGAGAGTGGTGCCATCAAAGTTTACCATAGCTCCTGGGGAGCGAGTAAGATTCAAGGTAAAGGTTGTGGTGTGGATGAGGTTCAGGTTATTCAAGTATGGCAGCATCACGTGGAAGGATGACAAGGGGCATTCAGTGCGCTCGGTTCTCATTCTCCATTGCAAACCTACGTGCATGTACTCATGCTAGACTATAATAGCTGATTTATAAGCCATGTGTTGTGCAACTTACCAGTACCGTATTCTCCCGGACATAACACCCTAGGGTATAGCTAAAAATACAGGGAAAAAATAGGAAAAAAATACATAATACCCGGGTCTTTACGTATGCCATATTTTAGTGTTAGTGTTTTTTTTATTAGTCAATGTGGGTGTTTTGCTGGTCGTTTTAGCATCACTGCCTGAGGCGTGAATGTCAGTTTCGGCCTCGAGCTTCATCGCCCTCACGAAAATGCCATGTGACACCTCTCTTGCCACTTGCAACGGAAGATTCACCTGCACGTGGCAACACAGAAATATGTTGGATGCACGTCATTCTGAGTGCATGTCATCCTAACGTCCTGCCGAGTGCTCGTGCTATTTGTGCTTGCATGATTTGCATGAGCATATGTCATTATGCATGGCTGTTGGATATTGTCATCTCTGTGTTTTTCTCCAAGTCTAAATGCTTGATCATGCAGGAGAAATCCAGAGCTTTCAACGATACCAAGATCGCCTTATTCCGACCAAGATCGCCCAAGTTACAAGATTTCCAAGACTTAGATTTCTTATTACCTTTTGGGGTTATATCTAATTTGGGTGATTACTTGGGACATGACTATAAAGGGATCTTTGGTTGGGTGGTTAGGGAAAGCAACTTTGACTTTTGGATTGTGGTGGCTAGAAGTTTCTAGCATGGGTTGCAAATGTTGCAACACCTAGGCAAAATCCAACTAGATTGGATTTTGCATGTGACACCTCAAGGACCTCATGATGAGGGTTGCATCCTTGCTACTAGGAAGGTTCTTACCATCCTTCCCTAGCTCTTGGAGAACCCCTTCCCTCTCATGGTTCTCTTGGAGGTTCCCAACTCCAACTTTCTATGCCTACATGCTTGTACTTCCCCTACCATTCTAGTCATGCGGCTGCTGGACGTTTTTACATGTTTCTCACTCTCTAGACCATCTAAACGACTGATTCAACTTGAAGATGGTAGCTAAGCCTAAGGCGCAACTTCCTACTAATCGGATTTGCGTTTAGTTGAGTAATGAGTTCGTCGTAAGCTCTCAAAGTGACGGATCCTGAACAACAAAATAGTGGGAGGGGGCAAATCTCGGCAGATTGCCTTTGAATGTACCGCGAAATTTCATTGAGGGAGAAATTCACACGATATTCTTCCGTATTGCAGCTACTCGTTTGTTGGGCTGAGGTGCCCTAGGATCTTTGTAGAGTTAAAGTCTGAGAAGGATGATGTAATAGCGGAAGCGTTTGAATAACAGTCCTTGAACCACGTTGCGCTAGTATGTGAGGGCAAAGTAAGTTAATTAAAACAAGCAAATACAAAGGGTTTTTATAAGAGTACAAGGAATACGAATAGATATAATTAAACTGTTTTACTGTTGCGGTTCGATACAGTGCGACTCGGGCAACTGCTCAATGTCGAGTCAGTTGTATGTCCTTGCTGTCGCGCTGCATTTGTCAAGTCAAAGGTCGCCGACCTTTGACCTTCGCGTAACCTCCAGCGGTTACCCTAACCTTCGAGGGTTGACTCGTGATGCTTCGATTTGAGCTGCTTCGCTTGTGTCTTGAGTTTCGACACGACAGAGCCGCTTAAGACTTGTTGTTCTCAACACTCCCCTTCGCTTCTGGAGTGTCGTTGATGGTGACGTGGCTTTGTCCAGTCAGCAGCATGCAGTACTCGAACTTCTGTTTTCCGAGCTTCTTGGTCAAGTAGTCGGCTGCCATCTCGGACGTGGGACAGTAGGATAGTTCGAGTTTCCCTTTCTCGATCTCGTCTTTCACGAAGAAATATTGCAGAGCGATATGCTTCGTTCTGTTCGCGAATCCGCTCTTATTGGCAATGCGAATCGCAGATTGGTTTGTTGAAGTCTAGGCATAGGTTGGCTTAGGAGACATTGCTAGTGAGTTCTTAGAATCTAAGGTTTAGGGTTGAAGTGAAGTGTCGAGAAAGTTGAGAAGGAGAAAATGAGAGGCTTCACTATAGGTTGGCAACAACATATAGCAAAGGAACAAAGAAGGTGCACCACCGAACAAAGTTTATAGTAACTACACTAACTACAGCTACAGGCAGTTACATATATATTCTTACACTCCCCCATAACTGCCTGCAGCAGAAGCTAATGCAAAGACACCTCCTGAAGGGGTACACCAAGCGCAGCAGAAGGAGAGGGCAAGTGAGGAGGAGGGACTATATGAGGAGAGGCTGCTGGCAGGTGAAGCTGCTGGCTCCAAGGCGGCTGATTCCTGGAACCTTCCTCAGTCCTCCAACTCCCCCTTCCACACTCCTTGAAAACCCTAGCACCTCTCCCCCAGCTCCCCCACACCCTCACACCCACCCCCCCCAAGCGGCAGCTGCAGCAGTGGGAGAGAAAGGAGGAGGAGGGGAAGGGGATCACACACACCCATCACCCCCATACCCGCCACCCCCATAGCCTCCGTTCTACGGCTGCACGCGCAGCAAGGAGACGAAGAAGGGGGGGGGGGTGGGGGGGGGGGCAGGGGCGACAGAGAAGAACAGAGCTTACGAGGGCACAGGCAGAGCAGATCGCACAAGGGCGCGGGCAGCAGCAGGGCGCACGAGGGCGCGGGCAGCAGTAGAGCGCACGAGGGCGCAGGCAGAGCAGAGCGCACAAGGGCGCGGGTAGCAGCAGGGCGCACGAGGGCGCGGGCAGCAGCAGAGCGCACGAGGGCGCAGGCAGAGCAGAGTGCACAAGGGCGCGGGCAGCAGCAGGGACCACGACGGGCAGCACAAGCACGGGCAGCAACGGGCGGCAACGGGCAGCACAGGCACGGGCAGCAACTGGCGGCAACGGGCAGCACAGGCACGGGCAGCAACAGGCAGCAACACGCAGTACAGGCACGGGCAGCAACGGGCGGCAACGGGCAGCACAGGCACAGGCAGCAACGGGCGGCAACAGGCAGCGCAGGCACGGGCAGCGACAGGCAGCACAGGCACGGGCAGCAACGGGCGGCAACAGGCAGCACAGGCACGGGCAGCAACTGGCAGCAACGGGCAGCACAGGCACGGGCAGCAACGGGCGGCAACGGGCAGCACAGACACAGGCAGTAACAGGCAGCAACGGGCAACACAGGCACGGGCAGCAACGGGCGGCAACGGGCAGCACAGGCACAGGCAGCAACGGGCGGCAACGGGCAGCACAGGCACGGGCAGCAACGGGCGGCAACAGGCAGCACAGGCACGGGCAGCAACGGGCGGCAACAGGCAGCACAGGCACGGGCAGCAACGGGCGGCAACGGGCAGCGCAGGCACGGGCAGCAACGGGCGGCAACAGGCGGCACACGCACGGGCAGCAACGGGTGGAAACAGGCAGCACAGGCACATGCAGCAACAGGCAGCAATGGGCAGCACAGGCACGGGCAGCAACAGGCGGCAACGGGCAGCACAGGCACGGGCAGCAACGGGCGGCAACGGGCAGCACAGGCACGGGCAGCAACGGGCGGCAACAGGCAGCACAGGCACGGGCAGCAACAGGCAGCAACGGGCAGCACAGGCACGGGCAGCAACGGGTGGCAACAGGCAGCACAGGCACGGGCAGCAACGGGCAGCAACGGGCAGCACAGGCACGGGCAGCAACAGGCGGCAACGGGCAGCACAGGCACGGTCAGCAACGGGCGGCAACAGGCAGCACATGCACGGGCAGCAACAGGCAGCAACGGGCAGCAATGGGCGGCACAGGCACGGGCAGCAACGGGCGGCAACAGGCAGCACAGGCACGGGCAGCAACGGGCGGCAACAGGCAGCACAGGCACGGGCAGCAACGGGCAGCACAGGCACGGGCAGCAACGGGCGGCAACGGGCAGCACATGCATGGGCAGCAACAGGCAGCAACAGGCAGCACAGGCACAGGCAGCAACAGGCAGCAACGGGCAGCACAGGCACGGGCAGCAACAGGCACGGGCAGCAACAGGCAGCAACGGGCAGCACAGGCACGGGCAGCAACAGGCGGCAACGGGCAGCACAGGCACGGGCAGCAACAGGCGGCAACGGGCAGCACAGGCACGGGCAGCAACGGGCGGCAACAGGCAGCACAGGCACGGGCAGCAACAGGCAGCAACGGGCAGCACAGGCACGGGCAGCAACGGGCGGCAACAGGCAGCAGAGGCACGGGCAGCAACAGGTAGCACAGGCACGGGCAGCCGTACCGAGTCCAGGGTCGGCGGTGCAGACAGCTGTGGGGTCGGCGCCGTGGGCTGCTGCTGGGGCGGCTGCTCCAGGCGCTGCTGCTGCTGGGGCGGCCGCTGCAGTGGCGGCGGCTCCAGGGGCTGCTGCTGTTGGGGCGGCGGCTCCAGGGGCGGCTGCTGTTGCTGGGGCGGCTGCTCCAGGCGCTGCTGCTGCTGGGGTGGCCGCTGCAGTGGCGGCGGCTCCAGGGGCTGCTGCTGTTGGGGCGACGGCTCCAGGGGCTGCTGCTGCTGGGGCGGCTGCTCCAGACGCTGCTGCTGCTGGGGCGGGCGCTGCAAGGGCTGCTGCTGCTGGGGGCGGCTGCTCCAGGCGCTGCTGCTGCTGGGGCGGCCGCTGCAGTGCCGGCGCTTCCAGGGGCTGCTGCTGTTGGGGCGGCGGCTCCAGGGGCTGCTGCTGCTGGGGCGGCTGCTCCAGGGGCTGCTGCTGAGGTCCAGGGGCGGCGCTGGTGAAAGGTAGGCCCGCGCTCGGCTACAACGCTGGCGCGGGCGCAGGTGAGGCAGAGGCGGTGGCCATGGGGGAGGGCGCCGCGTCGAGTAGGAACGGCGCCCAAGGGGTGCCGCTACGAGTAGGGGCGACGCCCCAGGGGCGCCGCGACGAGTAGGGGCGGCGTTCTGGGGGCGCCGCGACGAGCTGTGGCGACGCCCCGCGGGTCCCGCAGTGGTGTCACGATGAGCACGGCGACGCCGTGCAGGTCCTGCAGGGACGTCGCGACGAGCAGGAGCGGCGACGCACGGGTCCCGCAGGTGCGTCGCGACGAGCAGGAGCGGCGCCTCGCAGGGCGCCGCGAATTGGAGGGTACGGGCGGGCAAAACAGGCCCGCGCGTGGACATGAGGCAGGCGCGCAGGCGGCGTGAAGGCAGGCCGCGCGCGGGGAAGGAAGACGCCGCGCGCCCAGGGCGCACGGCGGGCAGAAAACCGCCGTGCGCCCCGAGCACACAGTGAGCAGCGAGAAAAATAAGCCGCGCACCCGAGGCGCGCGACAGGACGATAGGCAGCGGAAGCAAGAAGGCAGCAGGAAGGTACCTGCTCTGAATACCATGTTGAAGTCTAGGCATAGGTTGGCTTAGGAGCCATTGCTAGTGAGTTCTTAGAAGCTAAGGTTTAGGGTTGAAGTGAAGTGTCGAGAAAGTTGAGAAGGAGAAAATGAGAGGCTTCACTATAGGTTGGCAACAACATATAGCAAAGGAACAAAGAAGGTGCACCACCAAACAAAGTTTATAGTAACTACACTAACTACAGCTACAGGCAGTTACAGATATATTCTAACATGGTTGTCGCAGAACAAGGTGAAGTTGGGTAACTCGGCTAACTTTGCTTCTTCCAGCAGCTCGCGAAGATAGAGTCCTTCCTTGGTGGCTGAGCAGAGGGCGATATATTCTGCTTCAGCTGAAGAGAGAGCGATTAGTTCTTGCTTGCTCGATTGCCAGGAGATGGGTCCAATGGGTTCTAGGCGATAGATGTAGCCAGTTCGGGAGCGCCTGTTGTCTGAATCGCCGGCGTGATCGGCATCGACGTAGCCGATTAGTTTCGTGGACGTAGATTTACTCTTGTAGTTAGTCAGGCCGATCGTCGGGGTGCTCACGAAGTAGTGTAGTGCGCGGTCGAGTTCCGCCAGGTGCTCTGCTTCGGGTCTCTTGAGGTAGGTGGCGAGTTGACTTGCGGAGTAGGACAGATATGGGCGGCAGGTGACGGCTGCGAAGAGAAGGCAGCCCAGCTTCCTCTGGTAATCGCATATTCCGGCAGTTTTGAGTAGAGTGGAACCACCTTTGTCGTTCCCTGCCGTGTAGCGGTATGGCGTGGAGATAGTGGTAGGTGTGAGCGAGAAGCGCTTGGCGATAGTGTCGGCATATTTTTCGGCGCTGAGGTAGATCGCATTCTCTTCTTCGCGGATGTTGAGTCCGAGATACTGAGTGACGGTAGAGGAAATCGTGAGCGTGAGGTCCCTCTGCATCTCCCCTTCAAACCAGGTGGTGATGTCGTCGGTGGAGCCAATGTAGAGTAGGTCGTCGACGTAGACGATCAGCAGGATATAATCGGTGTTTTTAGTGAGTCGATGCATCCCTTGGTCGTGAGGCATTTGGCGGAATCCGATGCGAGTGAGGCGAGTGTGTAGGTGCTGTTGCCACAGCCGCGGGGCTTGTTTGATTCCGTAGAGCGATTTCAGTAGCTGGCAAACCTGATTAGGTTTCCCGTGGGTACCGTGTGGGAGCTCGACGAAGATTTCGGCGTCGACGGGTGCGTAGAGGAATGCGTTGGCGACATCAATTTGTCGCAATTTTTTCTTCTTTATGGCGGCAATCGCGAGAAGAATTCGGAGAGAGGTATGTCGGCTGACCGGGGCGAATGTCTCGGTGAAGTCCCGTCCGTGCTCCTGGTCGAATCCACGCACGACCCAGCGTGCTTTGAATTTCTCGATTGTGCCGTCTGCTTTCGTTTTGATGCGAAAGACCCATTTCCCGGTGAGAATGGTCTTGTTCCTTGCCACGCTTGCGGGAACGACTTTCCAGGTGTTGCGTTCCTCCAGTGCCTTTAATTCTCTGTCCATGGCTTCACGCCATTTCTCCCTGTGTTCCCCCCCCAGAGCGTGCTGAACCGTCGCAGGCTCTTTAGGAAGAACGTTGCCGTGGACTGCGGTGACGAGGCCGAGAATATGCAGTCCAATTTGTGAGTAGCGGGGGAGTGTTGTGTCCTCGGGATAAGCTGCTTCGTCTCCCGCTTCTGGGCCGGGTATGAAATTCGGCCCTATCCGTGCTGCTTCGTTTGTGTTGACTGTCGCAGGTGTTACGTAACCGTTGTCGGCGAAGTGGTAGAAAACTTCGGCGTTGACACTGTCGCGAGGATATTCTTCGTCCATGGGGATGTTGACGGAGCAGAACGGTAGAGGTCCGGCTTCTTCCGATGCGTTGTCGACGTTCTGCTCGTCCCAGTCTGCTTCGTCCGCTGCTGAGGCGAAGGCTCGGTCACCACGAAAACCACCTGTGGGGTCCTGATTTTTGTGCAAGTTGGTGAGGTACGTCTGAAGTGTGAGTCGCTCGTAGAAGATCAGGTCACGTGCTGCTACTGTTTCCTTTGAGTGGACGTCGAAGATTTTCCACGCGTTGTAATTCTTTTCGATGCCGAGGTGTAGTCCCCACTGTGCCCATTGTGAAAATCTTCCCGCTCGTGCTTCTAGGGGTCGGTACTGTACCATGCACCCGAAAACTCGTAACATTTTTGTGCTGCCCTGCTTCCCTGTCCACAGCAGATGCGGTGATGCGTTGTTCGTAAGTGAGGACGACGACAACAAGTTGTGCAGCATGACAGCATGGTCCATTGCTGCAGGCCACTGGTGGTGGGGTAGCCGCATGCCACGTAGCAGTTTGCGCATGCTGTTCTGTAAGGTCCTGTTCATTCTTTCTGCGACACCTTGCTGCTGATGGGCGTAGGGAAGGGAGAGGAGTTGCTTGATTCCCCTTTCCGCCAGGTACTGCTTGAATCGCTGAGAGGTGTATTCTCCTCCTCCGTCTGACTGGAAGCTATTCAACTGTGTTCCTGACTCTCTCTCTGCTACTGGTAGCCAAGCCGCGAATGCTGCGAGTGCCATGTCACGGCTGGGTAGGTTTCGGTGCCAGACGTATCGAGTGGCGGCATCGATAAAGGTTATCGTGTAGTTGTAAGTAACTTGTCCTGGTTCTCGATTGAAGAGAATATCGCTGTACACCTTCTCGAGTGGTGCGTACGCGGGTGCGCTCGGGTTGTGGTGGGAAGTAAACGGTCGATGTGGTAAGTCGGTTTCGGGGCAGATTAGGCAAGATCCTCCTGCCCGTTGAAGTTCTCTGCCGTTGGGTAGTAGTAACGAATCCTTGTCTAGGACTCGTGCTCGTATTGTATTGTTTAACACTGTGTTGCTTGGATGTCCTGTGCGTGCATGCCAGATGTCTTCAGGGGCGCGATGTCCGGGTGAGCGTTGATACGCGCCGGAGTTGGAGTAGAAGCTGGCGACGAAGTTTGCGCTTCTGTGGACTTCTCGTTGAGTTGGGTTCAGCTGTTGTGCGGGTGTTGGTGGTGCTTCGTCGACGAAGACTGGTGTCGTTGGTCCTGCTGCTGCCGATGATGTTTCTGCTGCTGCCGATGTTGTCTCTACTGCTGCCGATGTTGTTTCTGCTGCTGCCGATGTTGTCTCTGCTGCTGCTGTTGTTGTTTATGCTGCTGCTGATTGTTGAATTGTTGCTAACGCGCGTGTTCGTTCTGCTTCAGGGATGGTATGCGGGTACCAGAAGCCTCCCGGGCTGAAGTCGGGATCGAGATCCGGGGGATGTGTCCAATCGGCGAAGTTAACGATGGCATCGCTGTCTGCAGTGCCCAGGTCTGGGACGAAGTCAAGGACGAAGACGTTGTTCTTCAAAACCGCCTTTCCGATGTAGAGACCGCCCTTCCCGTGGTACAACTTGAACTCCTGGGTGGTGCTATCGGCTTCCAAGTGGATGCCTTTCGCCATCAACTGGCTGACGCTCAGTAAGTTATAGCCGAGTCCCTCCGTGATTAGCACCTTTGACATGTGCAATATAACGTTTGCCTCTCGAGACTGAAGCTGTACTACTCCTTGTCGTCGTGTGCGCAGGTTCTCGTTGTTGGTGACCGTGATGACGACCTCTCGTTGAAGTAGATGTTCGCGTTGAACGAAGCGTCCTGAGGAGCACATGTGTTGTCCGCAGCAACTGTCCAAGAACCAAGTGTCTTGTCCGGACGGTTCGCTTTGAGCGATGGCAGCATACGTCGGGTTCGGTTGAAGTGACTCGCGGCGAGGCGTGCTGTTGTCGAGTTGTTCTTCTGGTAAGTAGTAAGGTGGTGACTCGCTTGTGCAGGAGTCTGTTATCTTTACCATGCAGTTGACGATGTTTCTTGCTCCTTGTGCAGGTTGTCCTGTTGGAGTCGTTGAGGCTTGGACTGAAGCTGTCGAATT